TTGTCCTTGTTGAACCGCATCCTGTTCAGATCCGCCCACATATTTTTAATATCCTTTATATTTTAATGTCTTTCACTTTAATTTACATTTTAGCAGAGATTCTGTGCAGTGTAGCATCATGCATAGATTGTTAGTAGCTTTGGGGTTCCTGTTGCTTAGGTGGATAGTGTAAGTAACACCCACAGTTTTATAGACAGTGGGTACATCTACACGTGCTGTTAATGTGCTGTAAGCTTACTGCATAGTAAAACAGCTTACTATGTAGCAAAACAATGTGCAGTAAGCATTTTCCTGGGCGCATATCTACATGCGCACCTGTCAGGAGCAAATTTGCTTCTGATGGGAGCAGTTTAGTCCAGGGCTACTCCTGTCCTGTTCTGCCCTCCTACAGCAGCCAGGGGGAGCTTCAGGCTGGGAGGGAGCACCCTGTTCAGGCCTAGGCTCTGGGAGAACAGGGGAAGCTGTTCTGTCTGGGGCAGCTGCCTCCCAGTCCTGTGTCCCGAGCAGCCGTTTCCCAACCCTGGGAACAGCTGCTGCGGGAGAAGACGGTTTCCTAGCCCCCTACTGCCTAGGCTGACCAGGAGCAATTTGCTCGGTCAGCTGTCTACACGTACACTGCTGCACAGTAACCACTGCATGGTTAATCTACCTGTATCTACAAGTAGTAGCCAACCATGCAGTAGACAGATCTACTGCACTGTAAATGCTGTACACTTGTAAACAGAGAAACTTTGCTGCACAATACGTTAGACTACTGCGCAGTAAAGCACCTTGTGTAGATTGCCGAGTTTTTTTGTTTTTTTTTTGTTTTGTTTTTTTTAAGTAAAACACCTCCTGATGGCCAACGACAGATTAGCACTCAGAAGCTATTTCATTCACATTTCTTAGATGAAATGTAGCAGCAGTGGTTTACTTCATATTATGATGCTGCCTACTTAACAAAATACCAGAAACAAAGGTTAAGAGGCTACGTAAAAAAAGTAGAGGAATTGGTCCTTCCATGAGTAATGTGGTGCAAAGCAACGCATGCAAAATAACATGCTCAATTTGCTATTAATGTGGTGATTATAGTTGGTTAATCTGTTTCCTAAAATTAAGAAAATGTCTTTTTTCATTCACAATGTTTTGTTTTCTTTTTTAGGGAAGTCATGGAAAAAGATGCTAAAGACTATGCAGATTCCATCCATGCAATATTTGTAGAGACCAGTGCAAAAAATGCAATAAACATAAATGAACTCTTTATAGAAATTAGTAAGTATTTCTGTAACTAAAATCTGTGGTTTTATTTTTCTCTAAGGGATGCCAAAGCAGAAAGTTAGATTGCTGTATTCAGTCTATAGTTCTGCTGCCAAGGGTATCTTGGCTTCATGTTTGTCACCAGTGGCTAGGGATTCAAGAATGCAAGATGAGCTGCTGGTTTCATGTCATTTTATAACCTCTAACGGCTTCTGCTTGGAGATTCTAAACCCATTATGATCACCCACTCTGCTGGATAAATAGCAAGCAGGGCACTGCTGTTAGAAGTCAGTGTCATCTTACTGTATCTGTTGTTGAATGTTTGAATTTAGTACTTCAAGGTCACTGAAGGATGAGTGAAGGAAATGACATAGGAGATGTCAAAACCTGTATAAGACTATATCAAAACCTACATGCACATGAAAGGGGAAGTTTTGGAAAACGCAACATAACAGTTTTAAAAATGCATTGCAATCCTCATTTGGATTAGGTAATAGATTAGCAATTGCACATTTATCACATGCTTATTATCATATTTTCTCATATACATCATACCCATAACATAATATGCACCTCTGTTCTTGAAAGACGGAATGAAGAGAAAATACTTTGTAAGTGTATACTAATTCTTGAGACTAACTTGCTATAAATTTCTCTCTTCTTCCTTCCGCCCTCTTCATAGGTCATAGAATTCCATCAACTGATACCAACCCCCAATCTAGCAGTAAAGGTTTCAAACTTAGAAGACAGCCATCAGTGACAAAACGCAGCTGTTGTTGACTGATCCTTTAAGAAATCAGACTTGTTTATACAGTAGGTGGTCTTGGAAGTTGATAGTTCATGTTGGGTACATACAGTTGGTCTTAAATTCTTATCTGCCTGATGTTTGTGGACCAGTTCATCTGACATCTATAGGCTTGCAGAAGAGACTACAATCATGATAATGTCAGCCTGTTTACTTACAACACATAATATCTCATGTATTAAAAGGGAATCCATCATCATATGTATGGCCTTGCTTGAAATGAATTTCAGTATGTGGATGATAGGACTGAAATACTTAGTAGTTTATAATCAAGACTTTGTAATGCTTTCTAAAAAGGGAAATGAGCACTTTTTGTGGGTCTTTGGGAATGGGAGCAGCAACAGTGAAGTTTAAAATTTAGTCATAAGGCAATTCTGCTTTCCTTTGCCATTGTTTTAAATGTAATTGTAGCTAATCCAAAGTATGAGACAGTTGCTATTAGACCACTACAGAATAAGTTACTAAAAAAGAGTAATGAAGAAGCAGTCCCTCCAGTCCCCAAATCCCAACTTGCACTTTTTATTTAATGATATTGTAGGATATTAAAAAAAATAAGCAAACAACAGATTTTAAACCACAGACAGTCTTTACCTTTTCATGCTGACTTAATCACTTAAACGTTAATATGTTGTTTATAGTCAACCTTGTTTAAAATAAAGCAAAGTTAGGTGAAACTCTAAACCATAACTGACTGACTGATAACGGATGCTGTCAAGAGTTCTGTTAAGACTTAAGGATTATAGGGAAAGCTTTTAATTGCTTGGCACATGTAAAATGTTAATACTATATTTATGAGACCACTGTCTAAAGTATTATAAATTATGTAAAAGCAGTCAAGAAATCAGTTTCCTTCCCTCCTTTCATTCTTCACCCATGGATAGATTCCTGGCAATCTCCAGCTAGTCTATCCTTGCCTACGAGGTCTTGTACCCCTGTCAGTGACCTCTTCCAAAAGAAAACTGCCTGTCCCTCTCTTCTGACCACAGCTGAACTTCTCCTTGATAAGGCCAGTTGAGATTGCTGTTGGTGCAGCAGAAGACCTGCCCATTGAGCAACTTGTACCTGCAGTGCACCCAGACCCTGCTGGCTTGTAAGCAAAAAATGCAAACAGGGAACCAAATCAAGTCATGCATGGTAGCGTAGATCGTTACCTCTTGGCTCCTGGGCCTTGCCCAGCCCTTATTTTTGTTTTAAGAATATCAGCTTTTAGCTTATGTTGTGGTGTTTTAGTACATTTTATATTAAGCTATAAATTGACAATACCCTATTATGCTATTTTCATTATTTATTTTTAGATTTCTGCCAGCTGTGGTAGGAAACATCTCTCTCTTGAGAGAGAACATTTTAATAAACTCAAATGTGTAAAATACTTTTTTTTTAGATTTTGATATTAATCTTAAAGCCATGTTTATGATATTTGCTCTTAATTTTTGATTTGGCATTCTACCATCCCAATTATTTGGGCTGAAGAAAATTTAGAAAGAATATATAGGTAATGAAACAGCTTATTTCAGACTAAGTTGTTATTTCAGACCCCTGTTTCAAAGCTACTCTTAAATAAAACAGTTGAATTCTAACAGTGATATAAAGCATATTCTGAATGCAATTAATAGGCTTTAATGAATTGTGGGGACTAAAACCTATGACTCTTAGGTGCACATCTGTTTGCAGTTGTATAGATATGCCATTTGCTTTTGCAAAAAGGATTTTTGTGCATGCAAATCATGTTGCATGCATATAAATAGTAGCTGGTTTGAAGCCCCTGCAGGAAGAAATGGCCCAAATAGAACATTACAATAAAGACAAAACTATGTTCTTATGTGCAGCATTCACATCTAATACATAATATGGCTGAAATCTTTGTGACATTAGAACCAAATATGCAAGTATAGACTTTAGCTACAATGTTATATCATATCTTTTACAAAACTTTAAAAAGTGTTACTACTATGCTAGGTAAACTTGTTCTTTGGGCCCGATTATTTTTTAAGCAGTTAAACTAATGTGTGTAATTATATACCTAATAATTATAATAATAACTACTTGAAGTATTTGCACAGCAGCAGTCACAAAACTGCTTAATTTGTTTGAAAATCTTGCCCTAACATCCTTCAGTTAAGAAATTGTGTAGATGTGGTTATCCACTTAAGCTCATATACAAACCATATTGATCTCCGAGCGAGTCCAAATGGTTATCAAACATTGTATTCTTCTATGACTTTTGCAATTTTTGTAGTGGAGAGCTGTCTTTCAGAGCAACAGAAGACTGTTCTGGGGAGGTTTCACATGTTTGTCAGCGTCAGATCATCATTTTGTAATGTGTCTTTTATAATCTTATGTTGTTTAAACCCCCCCATCATAAATCTTAAACTGTCTTCTTTTAGTTGCAAGTAATTGCTATTTTTTCAGCTCCTCTATGAAGAGAGATTTGGTACATACTGCAGCAGGGTCTCTCCAGTCTCTTCTTCCTATGGTTTCAGTGTATTATGCTTCTACCAGCAAGGTGTTGGAATTGGCAGAACTTCAGAAAATTCCCCTCTCCCAATTCTACACCAATGCTGCTGACAGACATGGAGGAAAGAAAAAACACACTTTACCAGAAGAAGCAGTGCGTTAGTTCAACCCAGCTCCGTAACATCTGACTCAGCATCTGGTTCAATCATCTATTACAGGGGTTGTCAACCAGGGGTACATGTACCCCTGGGGGTACCTTGAAAAGGTCCCAGGGGTACACAGGGGCGGGCAGGGACAGAGCGCCACCACCCTGTGCTGCTGCCTCCCTGAAGTAGGGCTGGGGCGAGGCGAAAGCAGGGCTGCACCAACGCTGTGCTGCAGCTGCTCCACCACTCGCCATCTCCCTTCCCCCAGGGGTACGCTTATTAAAAAGGTTGAAAACTCCATATCTATTAGATAAGTGATTCTCAAACTTTTTTTCGTGGACCACTTGAAAATTGCTGAAGGTCTTGGCAGACCACTTAATAAACTTTTTTTTGTTCTACAAATCAAAGCACACAACTCATTTTTTAATATCAGTTGTCTTACCTTTCTAATGTGATGGATGTGCCTGTTTTTTGAGCAGAGTTCTGGGAAGTTGGGTGTAATGGTTGGTAGCTTTAGCCTTAAGTCACCTTTCTGTGGACCACCTGAATGGAGCTCGTGAACCAGTGGTGGTCCACAAACTACAATTTGAGAACATCTGTGTTAGATAAGTGCCAGAAAAGCTCCACTGAAGCACCCAGTCTATACAGACTTTGGCTGAGCTGTGTCAAACTAACACAATGCCTCTTCTGGCATGTGCTGGGCTCGGTGCACCGAGCGCACAATGTTTAAAGTTAAGTACCATTTCTTGTGGGGATTGTTTTAATGTCTGTAAGCAACCTAAGGCATAAGGTGCTTTACTGTGTTTCATACAATTTCATCCTTTGCCTTGGATTGTAGCAGGCTTATTGATACAGCATTTGAGGATAAGAGTTTTATTGCAAATCTGGCAAGTTTCCAGATGCTGATCATAGGGGGGGATATTTGTTACAAATCAAGAGCATTTTTCAGGCAAGCTAGCAAATCGAGGTGCTTCAAATATATTCATAATCTAAATTCCCTTCGTTTTCCTATGAAGTAAAAATACAGGTATAAGCTCATAAGCTTCCTAGTCAACCCAGTTTCCTTATTACTGTGCCTGTTTAATACATGCATTACTTCAGAGAAAAATATTTGAGTGTAGGTTTGTGTGGGGGTTTTGGTTTGTTCATTTGATTTTTTGTTTGTTTTTTTTTGGGGGTGGGGGGGGGGATTGTAGCTTTACCACCTTGGACAGGATACATCTGTCCCTTTTGGATCATCTCACTTTGAGTCTCCCACCATTATGTAAGGAAAATGTCAGACCAAGTTAATCTTTTATAGAAGTGTTTTAGATTAAGCTACTCATTAGGACCATGCTTGTTTGAAATGTCAGAACACAGAATGCTGAAATGTAAGTTCTTTGATCCTAAAGAAAGCTTTGTTATTCCCTTTGCCATATCTGGAGGCTGGAATACAAATAGAATTACCATCTCCTTAGGAACAGAGACATGTATGTAGTTCATTGTTTACTTGATACAGAGCGAAGTGGTTTTCTTGCAAATTCCATTATATCAGTTTCTCTCATCAAGCCATCCGCATTCAGATATGCTGCACTACGTTTGCCTGCTGCTGCTTATACTTTGCCCTCAACCAGCTTCTCTGCTAATTTATTCAAAGGTTGGCCTTTTTACAGAGAACTAAGGGACATGTCTCTGGAGGTGATAAGCATCAACTCTTCCAGCTCACTGTCTAACAACACCTTTTCTTTTTTAACTCCTGAAGTTGGAGTTACAGGAGATCAGGGCTTTTCAAGAATAGCCTTGTAGGGTTTTCTCTCCCCAGAATGTGAACCAGACTTGCTCATTTTTGAAAATGTACTTTGTACAAACTAAAGAAAAGAAGCTTGACTTAAGCAGTTGTTGCCTGGATATGTGCGCTCCCAAATGCACAAGATTTTTGCTCCTCATTACAGTGAGCTGATGTAAGACCTCAATATATGAGTAGAAATTGCTTCTCTGCTGTATGTAGCATTACCACATGTTATGTACATGTTGAATGGGTTCCATTAAACCTTTAATGGAATAGCTATATCAGTTTGCTACAGCAGAAGGCAGAAACTTGTGGGGGGGCAAAGGCCAAATTGAAAATTTTCTTTGCAAGTTGGATTTGGAATTCTCTTGATGTAAAGCAACTTTTGATGCCAAGAAGTTAAGATTCCTAAGGTACTTGCTAAAATTTATTAGAAAACACCTCTTTTTATTAGTGGATCAACTGCTTGTCTTGCCTTTCTTCAGCTTTAAATCAATGTAGGCCTTCACTTCTCTTGAAGTCAGTTGAGGCTAAATTGTTTGCATGAAGTGTTCCAGGATAAGACATTTGACAAAAATCTTAGGCAAAACAAAAATCTTGATGTGCATTTGGATAACACCAAAAAAATGTTACTATAAGCATATTTAATGTAAATGTTTTACTTACCTTGAGAGGGACTAGCTGGAGGAAAAGTTAAAATGTCCCTCTAGAGTTCTGGAAATCAAATCCTTTAAATTGATCAAGAGAATGGTCATTCGTTGTTCACTGTCCAGCTCATCAGGAAGAAGTCATCCTTTGTATATGCTAAACCCTTCTCTTTAGTTGCAGAAAATAATCATTCAGGTTGAATATATTCCATGAAGATGTTAAGTCTAAACTGTTCCTTATTTAACATTACCAGTAATGAACATTGTATAAACTATTTAAGATTTTGAAGGGACAAAGAAGCCTAATCAATGTTTGGATGGCTTCTCTTCTTGGTGAAACAGTCCATAGTGCTCCATTGAGAAACATGATGTTCTGTTTTTCATGTGTTGGATCAGCAGTCTGCATAGTCTATCTTGGGAATTGCCGATTTACAGGAATGAGACTGTCTGTCTGTATTGCTTGGACTGCTACTCCTTTAGTGAATCTTTCTTATAAATAGCAATAACTAAACAAGTATAAAAAAATCAAAGGAAATATTAAAAAATTACAAGAGTATGGATTATTTACTGGTTCATTGTTGCCTACATCATTCCTGACTCTCTTATTTGTTCAAATAATTTCAGGGTTCCTTTCTAAGCTATTGGAAGCTTATATATATAATCAATAGACATTTGTTTAGTTCTCATTTCTGGTCTTGGGATGACTAATGAACTGGTTTTTGCATGAACAAAGCCTACTCTTGGCAATTTCAGGATACTGAGAGAGAGAGAGAGAGAGAGAGAGAGAGAGAGTGTGTGTGTGTGTGTGTGTGTGTGTGTACACGTACTCTTAGTATCCTGAAATTGCCAAGAGTAGGCTTTCTTCATGCATTTTTATGCAGCTGTAGTTACTCGCTGAAAATGAGAACTATAGCTGTTTGTAGATATTTAAAAAAAATGCGCTTCACTGGGAGAAGCAGCATGTTACTTTGACCTGGCTCTGCAGCATATGTATAGATCGGGTGCTTCAGTGGGGCTTTTTGGCACTTTTATCTAATATCACTATTGGATAAAAGTACCAAAAAAGCTGCACTGAAGCACCTGGTCTATATAGATTTGGGGTGAGCCAGGTCCAACTAGTGTAATACCTCTTCTGGGCATGTGCTGGGCTCAGCATGCTCGAGTAAAGCACTGTTTTTTTACATCTACAAGCAGCCCATGTGTCTAAAACTAAACTACTTAGAAGCTCAGCATAAAACTCTACAGAAAACTGACTGAATGTTCCTACCACATCTCTGGCTATACATTTTATTAAGCAAAAAGAAAACCTTATTGCATGCAGAAATGAGCTGTTGGCATGTAATGTCATTGGATATTGAAGGTAGAAATAAAAATATGGCTTCTAGATGAAAGACCTGTTATGTCAGCTGCTCTCTTTCTGGCAAAAGAATGATGGCAGATGTCCTGTCAAGTGGCTCCAACCTGCAGAAGGAACCAAGTTTGAAACAGTGTTTTTTTTTCTGTTTCTTTTCTTGGCTAAGAACTGGGTGCCAACATTTTACAAGTCCTCAGTTACCAATTCTTATTTCGGAAAAATGCCTTCTGATCCTTCAGGTCTTTGAAAAAAAATCAATGCAGATATTTCCAGCTGGAAACAAAAGTGCTAGATTTGGCTATCCTGTTTTGACCCTCCCAAACTTTGTCCAGGGTCTCGAATTGGCAATCCTGTCTGAGATTTCCTAAGAGACCTAGAAATCTGGAAGTAGAAAGCTTTAATCTGAAACCCTTGCTTGAAATGCAGGCTTTTAGAAGACTGTAATGGTAGATCCCATAATGTAGGGGCAATGTAGGGTTTGATTTTCCAAATCTTGGATTGTGAATCCAGGGTCAAGTTTTTCAAGAGCTCAGTCTGTAGGTAGCCAGTTATGGAGTGGTCACTTTCTTGGAAAATTCTCT